CTTGTTACCCAGGCTGGAATGCAATGGCACGATCTTGGCTTACTGCAACTGCAACCTCCACCTCCCAGGTTCAAGCAATTTTCCTGTCTCCACTTCCTGAGTAGCTGGGATTACAGGCATGCACCACCATGCCTGGCTAATTTTGTATTTTTAGTAGAGATGGGGTTTCACCATGTTGGCCAGGCTGGTTTCAAACTCCTGACCTCGTGATCTGCCCGCTTCAGCCTCCCAAAGTGCTGGGATTACAGCTGTGAGCCACTGTGCCGGCCCTTCTCTTACTCATAGTTACAATTACCTGCCCGTGGTGAATTTTGGCATATACCAGGCAGGTTATAGTAAATAATGCTCAGGTCATGGGTAAAAGCCCCCAAGGAGCTTTGAAACCAGCTCTGAATTATTCACATTTATAGGGGGAATAATGCCCAGTAGGACAAGAATATTTGTTCTTTTTTTTTTCCCAGACAAATAATAAAAAATAAGGCAAAAGTCATGTCCATTTGCCTTTTGAATGAGTTATGTAAATTATCGACTCTGGAACCATCTGGGAATTGGCAAAAATGACTTAAATACCAGGCTCAGCAAGAAGAACCTGTACCCCCAGAGGAAGCCGGGAGAAGTCCCTCACCCTGTGGAAGCAGGCACTCTCTTTCTCTGTCTCAAATCCAAAGAGACGACAGGACCAGGATCTGAGTGTAAATCAGGTCTCCTCCAGTACAAGGCAGAATGGAGCAGGCTCCACAATAGATATCCCTGTCCCCTAGGGTCTCAAACAGGAAATGTGCATCCACGTAGACCAGCTCACTTTGGCCTCTGCAGTTCATACCCAGGAATGTAGGGGAGGAGAAGTAGCCTGCTGGCAAAGTTGGGGGCAAACAGCACTACCAAGGATCAAAAGCGAGTGGGTGGGGCAGGGATGGCTAGTTAAAGAAATTGTAGGAGGGAATCAGTTGACCATATCGTCCAGTAGGGACACAGAGAAAAAAGAAGCTTGAAGGGGAAGTAGAGTGCTACTGACTAGATCTGGAGAGCAATAGAGATGGGAGCTTTTTTTTTTTTTTTTTTTTGAGACGGAGTTTTGCTCTTTTGCCCAGGCTGGGGTGAAGTGGTGCAATCTCAGCCCACTGCAACCTCCGCTCCCTGGGTTCCAGTGATTCTCTTGCCTCAGCCTCCCAAGTAGCTAGGATTACAGGTGCCCCCCCCACCACACTCGGCTAATTTTTATACTTTTAGTGGAGAGGGGGTTTCACCATGTTGGCCAGGCTAGTCTCGAACTCCTGACCTCGTGATCCACCCACCTCGGCCTCCCAAAGTGCTGGGATTACAGGCATGAGCCACCAAGCCCAGCCAAGAGAGGGGAGCCTTTTTAAGAGATGGAGCAAAGTAATCAAATTTCATCTTAATGAGATTACTGTGGTTGCAGTCTGGAGACTGTATTGGGGGAGGGAGAGACAGGAAGCAGGGAGACAACTCAGAAGGGTATTGCTGATGTAATGCAGGAGAGGGGGGACGTGGGCGTGCTGAGTGTGAGGGACTCTGGCCAACAGGCAGTTGGATAAGCAGGTCTCACACTGCCCAAAAGTAATTTCCAAATCCCATCCCTCCTCCTCATGGATCTTCTAGATTTCTCCCTTTGCCTCTTTCTATTTACTCTTTTACATTGTCATTAAATGTTGTTACATTTTTCTCTTTACTGTAATTTT